TCTTTATCAGAAAGTTAGATTCCAAAAGAATTACTTTTTAATTCCAGACCATCATTAGAGTGTTTAATTGAATCTTTTTACGGAACTCGTATTAGTTACACTGTTATCAGTCGAATTTTTGTTTAGTTAGCTTAACTTGCTTGTGGCCTAAGTAAACCATCCATATTTCGCCTTCTTTATAAATACAAGAAGACAGTCTGCATGAAGCTAAAAAATTTAATTTTAGGAGAACTAGCTTGACCTTTCTCTCAGTTTTGTTAGTGCAAAATGATTAATCACTCTCAACAATTAAGAAGCAATTCAATGTTTTTATTCATTCGACGGTCCACGGAGTGAACCGTGAAGGTGGAACGTGCCTTCTTTTTCTTTCCTCTTTTATGCTAGAACTTCCCTACTTTTTTACAAGTGATATTTGTCGGATTCTGAATGTTTATTTTTGTGTTGGGCATAAGGCGTCTTGGTGGGAAAAGGTCAGACCATCTTTACCTTAGCCAAATGAACCATTAAATTGGGCAATTTAAACTCAAACTTTTCTCTTCCTGAACAGAGAAGACCAAGAATTTTCTTGTTTACTACTACTGGTCATAGAACTGTGTATTTGCACCCATTTCACAAGAATTGACTAACATTGTGCAGCTGCACAGACCGTCCACTTGGTACCACCGTCCTCTAAATTATTCGGGACGGCGTGCACTTTCAAACTATCAAGTTTGAAAGCATGTGCTCATACAGTTTTTAACGACACTCGCAGACTTCCAAGCTACTTTTTATAAGAAATGAGCCAGTGACGCCATCATCGTCTGTCCGTTTAATAGTTAGTCTTCACTAATTGCTAGTCTCTAGGCAAGAATTCCGCTCTTCAAAAACCTTAAAATAATATGAAACACTTTTTACTCCCTTGGATGCCATACTTTGGTTTAACTTTGGTAAAAATTGCTTTAATTTAAGGAATTAGTCATGGCATTTAAGGTATTTTCTCTACGATGACGACGTGCCTCGAGAATGCAGGTGCTCTTGGTTCTATGAACGCTTTTTATATTGATTCAGTGTTAAACGGGTTCACTTGACTTAACAAAGCAGTTCACATTCGGCAACTTGCCATTTCGTACTTTCATATTCATGAACAAATACAACCAAAAATTTATTATAATTGTTAAAAATCACAACTATAAATAGACAGAACGCTAATAATTCACTAATGATGCAAAATGTAATAATCATTTGTTGTGGAGTAAATAGTGCTTTCCTTAAGTGTATAAAAAATTGACCGGGTATTTGTTAGAATGTTTGTGGGGGTGAAAAGTCCTTTTTGAGTAGAGGATATTAAAAAAGAAATGGAGTTGTAAGTTCATGGAAGTGGATTGCTGTCACCTTTAGCGGAACACCAGACAAAGATGACATTTGAAATCAAGACTGTGGCAACGTTGGGGCAATTTTAAATTTTAGGAATAAGTATATCCTTGAAAAACTGCGAGTCTCTTCGAACATCGTTATACACCAGTGATGACTCTAAACACTTTTGTCCCAAAAATCCGGCCGACACTGAAACATAGGCCTTAGTGCAGACGAAAACCATTCAACGTACTGAAGAGTTTACCGCATATCCTTTTTGTCGAATATTTTCAGTCTAATTGCAAAAAGCAATCTTCTCGAATAAAATTTATTAAAGTATGCTGTCAAGACAGTGAGCCTTCAAGAGTTGGTGGTCATCCCACTTCGAGACGGAATTTGCTTTAGTTTGGGTTGATGGATCAAGACTGATTTGGGAGACAACTTTAGCAAGTCTTTGATTAATTCTAGGTTTTAATTTACAGTAACTCGGTATATTCACTTATCATGGAGTTCAGCTCAATCGGAAATTATTCGTGGTTTGTGAAATACTTGACGACAAAAAAATTGTTTTAATAAATTTCAGGTCTTTATTTAATGCGTTTGTAAAAGTGACGAAGTTGAGAATAAAACTAAAAAGCCATTTTGACAAAAAAAGAATTTTAAATGTGTAATGTACTGAACAAATTGTTTATAATTTTAACTGGATACAAAGTTGAATTCTTTCGGAATTGATACCCGTAAAATCAATTACAAGAGTTCCTCATATCAAACTTAAGCCAAGAATAATTCAAGTGAGAACAATACACCAAAGCGGCTTTTAGGAAATACGGCATTTACGTGCCCAGTGACACTACCTACATCTGTGTTACCAATGTGTGCTCCATCAAACTGCGCTCGAGTAGTACGGCTCGGTCAATTGGAACCATCCTTCTGCCATCAAACATGGTCATGGTCTTGTGCGCACCATACTTCTAATCACATAACGATCTCAGCATTGGATCAGATTCAACTGCTATTGACGTGTAGTGAACCGCGTTGATTCGCGTCCATCCACTCTCTTGTCGCACACTGTCCTCCCATACATCCCTGCGCATGCACCTCCCCCCACTACTCATCTCAATCATCTGGCCATTCAGTTATTTGCCCTTTAACTAGTTCACTCAAATGGTTGTGGTCAACAAATGCATTAGTCATGCACGCACACACACACACGACAACCACACAACTAGGTTGAGCCATCCAAGACACGGTTGTGCCTCCGCCACCTCTGGTCTCTTCAGCTCCCCGCATATATCAGTGTCGCGTAGTCGGGACCAACGCAGCGCAGCGCAGCGCAGCGGCCCCCACGTGCTTCAAGACTACACACCAGGGCCTTCATCGCAAGCAGTCGACAGTAATGCGCGCATTGATAAACCGGACCCCTGCGCTCGCTGATCACACCACCTGAATTTTGTGATCACAGAAACAGGACAGCTGATGCATCCGCTTGAGCAGAAACGGACTCGGTTTTTCCACCTGTAGGAAAAGTCAAGTGGATGCTTAATTTGCACTGCCTAAACTAAATGTTGTGCGATGCACCGTGTAAATGCACTAGCTGCCATAGAGCGTTCATCGAGAATCACTTGAGTGCATCAGCGACTGCAGAATGTGTCTGTTGATTTTGAGACAAAACACTTGGCGTTCATCAACCATTGTACCTAATGCACGATCCAAGACACTCTATGGAAGGAAACCAATGGGTCAGATTTTAGGGAAATCAAAATCGATTTCGGGCCTCACGCCACTCATCCACGTCTGCTAATTTCTCTAAATCTCTTTTTTCGTTCTCCGATATCGACTAACAACGCTTTTTTGAAACTGCTTTCCTTTTTGACCAGCGAGAATCCATGCACACAACCACATCTCAATATCAGACCGTGCAAAGCAATGATAGGTACAATATCGCAAATCGGCATCACCTGCCCTCTCCTTCTCCGCATTCATTTCACATCAAGATGGGGAGAAACGGTAAAACACGCCTCGTCCGCTGCTCGTTAAGCCAACCTAGAGAACAAGGGAGAAAATGGAGAGAGCATGCCTGATAGACGAACAGCCTTTTTGTCAACTGCTACCCAGAGACGTTTGAGCAGCCTGCAAAAAATACAGCCTGCACGTTGGTGCAAACATGATTGGCGCTTCTTTTCTGCTTTCACTGCGCCTTGCAAGCAGAGAGCGCGAGAGAGAGAGAGCAGAAGGAGAAAAATGCATACATACGCGCGCGCTGCTGGGTGAGGATGAAAGGCAAAAAGTGCGCGTCTTCGGTGGATTCCCTTGGTTTTTTTGCTCCACACTTTCTCCTCTGCCTTTCTCACACACAAACGAGGATTTGTGTGTCGCGCTCACGTGCCTTTCTCACTACCACTTATTACAACTAGCTGCGTTCATGCAAACTTCGTCCCTGACTCAATACCGACCACCGGTAAAGCCACAGAGACGCGACTTGCCGTGCTAGTAGCTACGATGGAATGTCTACACTGAGCTCGAATACATAACACATGGCATTCACTTTAGGCCGTATTTGTTGTTAAAAAGAGCAACACTAAACCCCAACGATAGGCACTCAAGTGTGTGTTCACACATCAGCACCCTCTACATCAAGTTTTTTTGCTGAGAGGCGTTCCTTCAACGGGATAAATTTACTGCTCCCAATTTGCAGTAATTTGGTAAGGAGTGTGCCAAAAACTCTCGACACCAGGAACCTAAAAGATGACCAGAGCCACAACCCCACCGTTGGGGGTATCTTCACATTATTGGGCTACATCGGATTTCGCCAAATCAGTACCATCTCATGGACGTCTTCAATTGAAGCCATCACATCAGGGTATCGCCACAGTCGCCACCTCCCGGCTCGCGTCTCGTGAGCTCTAACCCACACAAGCTTGCGCCTTGAGAACACGCTAAGTACGTCCAAAACGCCGACATAGCCGTTCCCTCCAACAAAGCTGCTCCACTAATCCAATGTCACCCTCCCACCTATCCACCCACAATGTTAAGTTTGGTATGAATAGAAACCTCCCTGAGAGTTGCTCCAGCAACAACTCGAGCCCAGTCAGCACATCAAGCCTGACGCAGGAGGCTCTGCACACGTGCTACTCGTCATACATAAGCCTAAAAGCCTGACGGCGTGCGACCTATGACCTAGTGGCAATGAAAATGCTTGCGGTTCCAAATCCCAGACACAACTTCTCACAACCGTGATCGATGATTACTTGATATCCATTGAGACCACACAGGTAAGCGGCTTCATGGCGTTGTGATTTCACACTTCCAAATTAACAATTACACTTGAGAAGTGAGCTATTCTAAAATCCTCTGCAGGAATATTGCCTGGCGTCTTGAAACAGGTCGATAAGCCTGATCAGCCAGTACCACGTAGCCTATTTTATAAAATACGCAAGTCGAAATAAACAAATTTGTACATAAAATAGACACCACCACAAAACAAAAAAGGTTACCATAAAGTTAACGCACGCTCACAGGAGTGAGGAAAGGTATGTTCAAGTAGCATTCAGCGACATGACAAGGTGAGGCGCTCTATTGAGCCTTGAATTAGAGTAGGGGAAAAACGAGTTATTCTGCTCATCAATAAAATGAGTATCACAGGACGACATTCCGCGAAGACAGCAGGGTCAGGAGCTTAAAGCAGCATACACAGCCCAAATAACATCTGCAGGGTTACCGGTGGAGCCGTAATCATTGTAATTCAAATCCAGAAGTGTTCTTACGTGTCTCATAGCTGTGCTGTAATCTTGGTTCGAAAGTGTTAAGAACGCATTTTCGAGAACATCGGCTCTATGTGCAACAATAATCAAAGAAAGCGATCGTTTGTCCATATTCGTAATGTCAGCGGACCAATTAGACAAAACAGCATCATTAAGCCGTTGAATAATTAGCTGCTTGGCGGGCGTATTAATAAGAGGATGAGTAGTCATATCAAAAACGATAAAATTTTGCTTCTCCGTTGAACACACACCCTTCTCGACCAAGTTTTTAGCTATTCGCTCTCGTACGTTCCTCATCTGCAGAGTTATTTTAAACGGATTCCAAGTCTCACCTATCAAGTATGAAAATAAACAATAACAAACCGCTAAGATATTCAATCCAGGACTTTACGTCCGCAGGCTTATTTGAACTAATGGTTCGCAGCGCCTCGTCTAAAAGCATATCACCTGTGGGAATATTCTTGACAACCACAACGTTCCTGTTGAGAAGCAGTCGACGAGATGATGGTGGCTCAAGTGTAATACGACCGCGCAAGGCTAACTCAATAAGAAAGCAGCCACGAAGTCCAAAACTGATGTTGTCATTCCAAAAAGACGTATATCCTTCCCGATCTTTAAGACCTAGGAGTAGAATTTCCTCCATAAGGGTAAATCGTGCTTCCTTGGAATCATCATCTTTGTGATTATCATCACTAACGGATGCCTCATAATTAAGATTTGACGATCCAGACTGCCTCGTATTGCGCCGGAACACAACGGTGTCGCCGGTACCTGACATAGGAACCCACAGACTATTCACACGACAATACGCAAATGTAATTGGTTACCCTATTAGCTATTGTGTTTGAAATTTTTTAGTGAAGAAAAGTATTTAGTAGCAGATTGTCCATGCGAAATATTTAATCAAATAGTGAAATATTTCTAATACGTTATTTGATTTACGACATCAAATGGTCGAAAAATACTAAATCTTTTTTAACCTTTGTTAAAACTGCAGTTACTGAGCGGTCATACGCATTGCAGCCATTAGTATATCGGGATATTCTATATTTTGGGTAACTTATTCTTTATAATAGTCAGGACATGTCAAATTTAAACACTAATTAAATGCAATTTCTATTCTTCCGTTTCATCCAAGAGTAGACGAGCGTTGCTTAAAAAATGAGAGTAAGTGGATTATAATTCAATTATAAGATGATTAAAGGTGATATAGATCACGTATTTTAGTCTACCATGTTCTGATACAAAACATTTTTTAACTGAAAATTTACTTGCTTCAAAATCTTGCTGTAAGTCAATGCTTAATCCCTCCAATAAAATTGGATAAAATATAAATACATATTTATGATAATGTGCTGTATATATCCTTTATACAGTTTGAAACGCATAAACTCCAAGTGCCCATGACCTTAGCTCTTAGACAGATATATATTTAAATAGCAACAGATCTGCATCTTTTATTGTCGTGATTATCAATTTTTTTATAATATACCTGAATGTCGTTTTAACCTAAAATCACCTAAGAAGCAAATTGGAATTATTTATTTCATCCTTTTCTGTAAAATGTCACCTAGGTATAATTTATAGTTAAATTCTAAATTATTTAATATGCGAAAATAAAAGAAAGCCATCGAAGGTGACGATAACTCTTCATAAGGTTTCTTAACTCTGGCATGCGTGTTGAATCAATATGCGGATAATAGTGTGTATGCAGTTTAATTTTTTTCCAACAGTCTCAATCAGGCGGGTAAAATTATTAAAGGAGTCGCCATTAAAAGTTGGGAAATGTGTTAAAGTTCGTGGCAATAAATTTGACAAATGTTAATCAACACAATTTATATCAACTGCTTGAAGGCTAAAATGTAATTCCATGAAGAAACCAAATAGTGACTTTATAATTTATTCACGAGAAATAACGCAGTTTTCAGTTAAAATTTATTACTAAAATTGTTATAGGAGTCGATGAAGAACATTATGGTGCATAACAAATACAATATTTCACTATTGTGTTTTATGATAAAAAATTATAATTGCTTCATAATCTGTCATCACAACTTAATGAAAGATTTCAATTATGGACTTGAAATCAAGATTATCCGAAGGTATAATGAGCCTTACAGTTTTAATCTGCAAACTCAGAATGTAGCAAGCGTTTAGCTAAATCTATTTGACACGAAACGGTTATTTCCAAAGATCACTGAAATCAGAATTTGCCACTCGCTTTTTATCAACTGAGCTGGGTGTGATAATTAGTATACTGGTTGCCACTAAGACAGTTAATGAATTTGTTATTGATTAACTAGCTGACAAAACATAAATATAATATTATAAGTAAGCATTTTTTTTTACGAGTTTTTTACATGATCAAGTCTCATGGCAGAAATTTTCGCGGAGCTGTCATATTTTCTGATTGTTTAGTGACAAATAAATGAAGTTACATGCTTTCGTATTTTTAAAAGGCCTTATTATGTTAAATTTTGCATAATTTGTTAAGTTTCAGAAATCATCAGTACGTTGTTTTAACAGCTTGAAAACGATTGAACAAATTTTGAGTTATTTCATTTGCTCGTTTTTTTGAAGTACTTTTTTTGGGAATCAAGTAGTGGGTAAGTGTACATGGTTTTCTGTCTTGATGTCTGGACAATCTCTTAAGTTTTGCTTTGATTCTGGTGCGTTGCTTTCATATTCCTGTTAGTTTAACTGAGAATTCGTAGCTCTGATTGTTTCTTTATTTCTAGACAAAGTTCTAGTTTCCGATGAATGTGCAGCCATTAACAAATTTACTGTAATCAGCTGTCACTGTAATCGTCAAAACTCACCAAGCTAGCTCCGCTTTATTGAAATTGCAATGCAGATTCAACAGAATTGTCGCGTCACTAACATGCCAATTTGTCGTTTACATGTTTTTTTTTAAATTCAGGTTGCTCGTTTTGTATATTAAAGGCATAACCCTATCGCGCAATGCAGGGGGCATCCCGTACTTGCTTTTTGACTGTATTATTGGCCTGCGGTATTCTCGTTATACCATCAACGTGCTTGGATACTGTCAGACGTGAGCGTCTCATTCTCAACAGTCTCAATCCTAGTGTGGTCTGTTTGCCGGAGCCACATTTATTCAAACAGTTTATCTCTCCATTCCTAAACCATGTTCTCAAGATAAACTCAACGTCAGTAAATGCATTTCCTGTCCACGTATTTACAGCTCTCAGCAAAGTTGATCTACTTTCTCGTTCTCCCTGGCTTCATGAATCTCCTTCTCAATCAAGGGTAACGCCAATTTCTTCATCCTTCCAATCACTCGTTCCAAGCTACTTTGTGGTGCGCGAGAACACTCTTCTCGAGTTTTCAGGCGTTAGTGTGTACTGTGTTGGGCTTCTTGCCTCACAGAGTAGGGATCCATTTCTTCTCAACTCTCATCAACATCGTATTGACGTGGCGTTTGAGGAAACCATAAATTGGACCTGTGTTGCCCGTTTGCTACTTGGTCTTATTGTCTTCTTCGTTTCACCAATTCTGTCACGCAGCCTCGTTTTTTATTATACTTCAGGAGTGCTAATGTCAATTATCGGAGGTCTGCTGATAGTATTGTTTATAGGTATTAGAATCCTCCCGAAGAGAATCAGCCTCCTGTTGCAAGGCATGGTATTGGTTAGTGGAGGTGCCTTCAGTCTCCTTGTTTTGTGTTTGAGCTACATCCGCTCAGTTTTGTGGGGTTTTGTGACCAACAATGTAGGGCTGGTCATTTGTTACGTTTCGGGCATGGCTCTGCTTTCGGCAAGTCTATTTTATTGGCTTAGCCTGCCAGAGCGACTGATGCAGAACTTTCCGCGGACTCAAACGATGCTTAATGCAGGCATTCGGGCTCTAGGTGTTTTACTGATTGCTTCTGCGCCTCAGGTGCCCTCAGACTTACCGACGGTAACCACAGCCTTTGGAATACTAGCAGATTGGACCAAAACACAGTTTGACTTGGATATCACCTCTTTAATGACAATACTTCCTCTGGTAATGCGCGGGACATTTACTATAGCGGTTCTGTCTTTACTTCGCCTCTTTCCTAACCGTCGAAAGCCAAGTAGACGTGCGAATCTTCGAAGTCGTGGAAGTTACTATCTTCCGCCAGTCCCATGTGCTGCTTCATCCCCGTATAGTTGGGATTATTCCAGACCACATCGGACTTCACCTGGAAGTTGCTTTCGTGGAACCTCATTGACAACAAATTACGGCGGCTATGGCTATTTTGAGGTAAATGAAGATAACCCCTATGCACTCGGCCACACTAATGAGTACTGGGACGGAAGCGGACAAGTGTTCTCACCTGTTTCCATAAGAAGAAAATCTGGCTTGTCGACGCCGATTCAAAACATGAAACTCTCCACGTCTTCAAAGCTTATGCGAAGCAATGCTCGGGACGGCTCCCTCATGGCCCAAGATGACATCCTAACTGATGACGAAGAAGACGATTAATAAGTTACCCAAGATGCTTTTGTTATTTTTTTATTGTGTCTGAACTAATCCCGTTTCTTTGTATCGAAGTTATATCAATAACTAGAGTAAAAGGTAGTCACCGTTATCTCATTAATTAAAACTACTTACATTTACAAAGTAACATACACTTAGCTCTAATCAAGTTGGTTTACTGGCACATCCAAATCTCAGGTGGCTCTGTAAAGAAGATTCTTAAAGTTAAGAAGATAAACTAACTGCGGCCAATTCGATAAGTCCATTCAAGTCACTCTCGTTGCCCGATAGACGCCATTGCCGAGCGTCCAGACTAGTCAAATCTCACTATCTAAAGGTAAAATTGGTTTGCGCTTTGGAGGTAGGGCTCCCGAAATATCCTCTCCTACGTAGTTAGCTATAAAAATTGGCTATCATGTTTCTAGAGACGTATCCAAGATAACTGCACAGGACAGACCGTTTGTGAGGACTTTAGTCAGGTCCTTGCTTACTGGAGGCAGGGGATGCTAATTTGAGTCATGGGTATCTGCTAACATCTTCAAAGAGCGCTCGAATCTGCAATGGTGTTTGATTTGATTTTGGTGAGCTTCAAAATTAGGCTTTCAGCCGACAGCAACAATTGAGGTGTTTCTCAAAGTGTGTAGGTTTTTCATCCCTAATTAATGCAAAATACTTTGGGATATGTCACTAATCAGTTTGCAGTGGATTGTCTTAATTTATGTCTATCGTGTCCTGAGTGATCGAGCGAAATGTAATGTGTCCCCCTTCCCACATCTGCCTAACTAGTATTACGCATATTTCATATCTGCTGCTTGACCTCTACCACTACCAAGCAGTCCTACCCTTTGCGCGTATCTGCGGTTTATAGGCGGTCATCAAGTTTGAGTCGCATCATGTGTTGGTCAGATTTTACTTGAATTTGTTCACCTGACCTCACATGAGTAGTTTTTGCTTTGTTTGACGCTTGTAAACCATCATTTTTTCATCTAACTTAATTCGTATTTCTTTGATTCTGGAGTAAACACACCACTCGTCAATGTCTGATAAAAGTCATTCTCTCACTGTCGCTGCCGTAAGGTGTATTTGTTCTAATTTTTCCTGCACCAGTGCATCCATTAATTTATTCACTAGAACTAGGCGATGGTCTTTTGAGGGCGTGGGGCTCCATTGCTACGATACTTGCATCAGTGGCTCCGTTCAGTCGTCCGAGAAAACCCACCCAAGTTTGAAAGGAAATGCTCACTTTGATACACGACATTAGCTTCACACGTTGCCATTTTTACCCTGCTTGCCCCACCCCTAGGGCTTGGTAGACCTCCTGATCGCCTTTGAAATCAACTGTCTCCAATTTTATATCAAACAAGTATAGCTGTAGTTGGTAGTTATATGCTGGACACTAAACTATGTCCCACATTGAACGATTTTTTACTTAGGACTTTAGGTTAATTCGAATATTAAAAGCACAATCTTAAGAAATCTGATTTAATAAAATACGTGTAGTTCCAGTTGTAATTTTTAACTTATACTATGAGAGACCTGTAACTTAAAAGTTGGGTATTATTAGTGCATTAGCTACATGTAGAAAGTATTTCTGCCTTGCTAGGTGCAATTAAGTGCCTAAAGCACAGTACGTTCATTTTTTTTGGTATTTAATGAAGGTGGAACACAAGTTAGCATTAAGGAGTTATTACAAATAAATGAATTATTTGAAGGAATTCACTGTAGTGGGCACCGAAGTGACTCCAACATTCCAATTCAGAAGGCTAGATGAGCAAGCGATTTTCCCTCATCCGTGGTTACTGCATTCGAGCGCGAAGATAGGTATTAAATGCAAAAAGGAGTGACTGGTCAGTTTGTCAGCAGCAGTTGCAGGTCCCATTAGTTTTACCTTTCGGCCTGTTTTCAAAAAGTTTACTTCCTTAACTCAAGTGTGTCCCCAACATAAATAAGTGACATTATAAGTCAGTTTGGTGTTCTTTTCTAGAAATCTCTTCGTGGAGAAGGGGCTTGTATTACAGGCTGCCTCATGAGTAGTTCGAGGATTAGCACGGGCGATTCCCAAAGCTCTTTAACCCGATAAGCCAGATATTTTGTATAATCTTGGTTTCCGAATTAGAATGAAAGTTCTTTTCAAGATACTAAAATGCGAGACTTTCCGGTTAAGTTAGTGCTACGTTTAGCCACTCTGAGAAAAGAAGGCTTCTATTATGTGGTCTGGTCTTTGGTGAAAAAGTGATGTTCATGAGTGTCGTTAGTGTGGATGCAGCGTAGAAGCTTTCCAATTAACCAACTTTGAGTTCACATGAAAACTGCTTGCTGTTTTGCGTTTGAAATTTTGGAACCCATCTTCACGTACCTAATGCACACATTACTTTTCCACCAAGATTAATGAAGACTCTAAAATGACATTTGTTGTGTCTTTTTAACAGCCATGTATTCCGCACACTTTTTTCACTAGGTCCTCGAGTAAAATTTATTCAGTCTTTATTTCCGCTGCCTTTTCTATTCTGTCTTCATTTTTGCTCCTTATACAACTGTGCCTTTTTTGCTTTCTCCAATATAAATTACATGTTAAGGCTAATATAAAAAACGAATAAGGTTTGTTCTTGTGTGCTTAATTTCATTAACGGCAACTGCATCTGCGAAATGTGTCGCACGTAAGCGAAGCAGCTTTGTCGTACATTTTAAACTGATGTTCAGTGGCCCTTGTAATTTAAATAGTTCAACAAATATTAGGTTTGAGTTTCTTTACTACATCAATGCGATCCGTTTGGAAAGTCAATGAAGCATGGACCGATCATCCAATTAAAAAAGCTTGCAAACTAAGTGGAATGCCGAAAAAACCGTGTGTAGATTTGGCACTATAATGAATTTGATTTTTAACAAAACGTAACAAATCATAAAGGGGAGGTTAAAACCACTTCATTTGAGGTCGGTCTCCACAATCCCATCGGATATGGTTACAAAGTGTCATTCAACAGTGTTAACCTTTTTAAACAGAATACAACCAAAGAATAGTTCATGAATGGTTATCGTTACTTCAGGGTTCAGATGTGGTTTTACCAGGAAAACCACCGGATGGTCCTGGATTAAAAGGTTTCGCTCTTTTACTGGCAGATAAGATGCATCCAAAAAACCTTTAAATGCCCCATTATCTTCCTGATGACAGGATGGGTTGCTTACTATTGTTGATTGCGCATTTTGTGCACCAAACATTTCTAACCTGTCGTTATCAGCGGAAATGTTAATCCACTCTAACCAACGGGACGTTCTGCTTCTGATTATGTCATATTCTTAGGTTAACCATAATCAGTGATGCCATCTTTATCTGCGTTGAATTTGTGCTGTCGTCATCAGCAGTCATGTGTGTTAAGGGAAAAGTTGATGCTCAAGTTTTCCCCCAAATCAGGAAATTGGATTTCACAGGAAAATTTTGACAAAATATAAAATCAGAAATCTTTTTTAGCTTCAGTCTTTAGAATTATGACCAGCTGCATTTATTTTATCCTTATCCCAATGACCAATGTGCGCATTACTCACAAATAGTATTTATTTAAAAATCAGTTATGAGTCTTGTGTGCTATGGTTCGTTCTGTGTCAAACGGACCAATAGCAAGCCTACTTACATAGACTTACGCAATCTTTCACGAGAGTCTTGCCTGGACACAATCGACTATATTTTGCGTAGTCGATTGTATTTCATTGTCTCACATCTCACCTGAATATACTGAAAGCAGCAACTTAGGAGAAATTCAGGGCATTCCATAATAAGTTGACGTATTCACAACTCTTTTAGTTACCTACACTAACCCATAATTTATTATTTGTCACTTTTTGAATCTTTGAAAATGTAGCTACACTGTATGTTATCGTTTTCTAACTCACAATAAAGTCAGTTAATTTCTGACTTTGAATTCATTCGAGAGTGACACTAGTGGCATAGAGGTTTGTTTGAATGCTGACGAACATCTTTAACTCTCCGTTCCGTCCACAGATCGTTTTGTTCACAAATTCTCCATGAGTATTCTCATTCACTCGCCCCCACGACGCTTAAAGCCTACTGGTTAAATAACTGCTGTGCTATTTTTGACCACATTTTTGGAAGTGGGCTGCTTTTGACAATGGACAGTTGGATTCCATTGTAGCTGTACGTGGCCAAAGTGCCTCCATATACTTGGATCCCATTTATATCCTTTTTTATAAAATCTGGGACACTACATCTACATCTTCGTAACTCCCAACAACCTAATAATGGGCTGCGTATTATTGCGTATTTCCCTGATTTTCTTGTCATCCTTTCGACAACTTCAGAATAACAGTCGAATACTTGGTCATTTTCTTAATTTCTATAAGTCGCCATAGCCAGCACTCGTTATCTATTATTCAGCCACTGGAGTTAAGTCAAATAGTGCCTATATAGTATACTGGTTTTTCACTTAAGTCATGAAACTTAATTCCTATTTTTACATAAGCACAAATGCTAAAGCCTTTCAAACGAAAATTGGTTTTCTCAATTTGCAAAGGTCTACGAGAGAATTCTGAAATCATGATGATTCATGGATTGCAAGGGGAAATGAGACAAAAAATTTGGCATCGACCATTGTTTTCTAAATAGATGAATTTAATTGACACACCACGAACATTCTTCTGGCCCAAGTGAATTACATTGATGTTTGCTTGTCTGATTTCAGCTAAGAGTCCCATATACTGACTTAATCGCTGGCTTTAATTTATTGTCCATTATATAAATGCTATCGTTACGTGTAATCCTGCCTGCTCAGCACACAAAAATTGCGGTAAATAAAAAGATGACATTCTTACTATTCCCTCGGACCAAAGTGCAGTTACATGCCTTTACGCATTTAACCGAGTTTTAACCAAATGGATGATTTTACAGGTGGGAATTGGCAGCTTTTCGCAACAACGATTTTCAAATGTTAATGGTTTAAGTGTCCCATTTGAAGAAAGTAATATATATTGATGAGCAGAATCCCAAAACCCTGTTT